GAGAGAGAGAGAGAGAGAGAGAGAGAGAGAGAGAGAGAGAGTTCAAGTGGGGGGGTGCCTCGCAAGAGAGTCTCTGTGTCCAGTTCAAGACTGACTCACAGAACACAGCCCCTACCTCCTCCAATCATTGTATCTCCTGGACAATTAACAACATGGTCTTGGTCATTCCCCCATCTTCTAATAATCAGGAAATGCATTTAGAATTGCTTGGGTCTCACAACATAAGTCAATGGTAAAGCAGTTAAAACAAACTTATTTACTACATTAATCAAACAATCCATTTAGTTTGGACCATCAATCCTCTAAGCATTGTGATTGAACTTCTCCATTAACTGAGGGCCATAGACAAAGGTCCTATCACTCCAGGACCATCAAGAGCACCCTTGTTACCCCTGGGAGGGTGGGGTGACAGACAGATGCTAGGGAGTGAGCAGTGGCTCTCCCTAGTTGCTCGGCAATGACCTATGATATAATCAGCTCACTGACTGGATGTATTCTCATCCTTGTGGTGACCTGTCCTTGAGTGATCCCATCTCTCGAGATGACTACAAAAGGAAGGATGTAAAGCTGACTGAGGACTGAAAGGCCTCAGTCTATAACAACACAAAAACAAGCCAGCACCATATAGGAGAGGTTTTATGAAAACAGTGTCAATTTTAAACAAAATGCTCAAACTGAAGAATGACCCCTATGTACTTACTTTGTTTTCACAAATGAATCAGAAAGTGTACACATCACTAATCAGACTTTTTATAAACTTAGAACTACTCAGAGCAGGTGATATCACTTAATAGTTTGCTACTCTAATGTAAATGAAAGAAAAGGATGCATGAGCAGGCAACAGCACTCAGTGGGCAAAGAGACTTGTTGCCAAGCTTGACAATCTGAGTCCAACCCCCAAAACCCACATGGAGGAAAGAGAGAAATTACTTCCACAAATTGTCCTCTGACCTCCACAGGCATGCTGGGGCATGTACATACCTACCTAGCAACACACCCACACACACGCACACACACACCCCCACACACACACACACACACACACACACACACACACACACACACACACACACACACCTTAACATTTTTAAGGATATAGGACTCAGAGTAATGGTGCAGTCTACCCCTTACACAGCTAACCAGTTTGCATGTACTTCATCTTCTCATAAAGCCACACACACTACAGATGTCAGAATTAGAAAATGCTGAAAAGTCAACAGAAGCACTCCTGGTTCAAAGCTATATACAACACTGAATACTCTACCACATTATCCTTACCCACTAAAACAAAGCCCTGAAAGCCAATGAGCTGAGGAAAACTTGAAAACTTGAAGCCTCAAATGGATTCATTTCTCAACAAATGTTATTTTAAAATGTGATATTGTCAGTTGTGAGCATATCTTCTGTGGTTAACTGTAGATTTCAAGGTGTTTTTTAAAGTTGGACTCAAGGATAAGACTGCCCCTCTCCATGATTGTGATGGTTGTTCTTGGTTGTTAAGTTGACTACATCTGTAATTAACTAAAACTCTCACTGGCTATCTGGACCACTCTTTCTGCTACCAGCTTATATACCAGCTTTTTGCCTGCTTGCCCTAATTCTTGCTAGCAACTATATTCCTTCACTTGTCTACTTCTTCAGGATTCTGCCACATACTGAAGACCAGCTGAGACATCCAGCCTTGGAACTTAACAACTACTGGATTCTTGGACCTTCCATTGGAAGACAGCCATTGTTGGACTAGCTAGACTACAGCCTATGAACAATTCTAATAAACCCCATAGACAGATGGATGGATGGATGGATGGATGGATGGATGGATGGATGGATGGATGGATGGATGGATGGATGGATGGATGGATGGATGGATGGATGGATGGATGGATGGATGGATGGATGGATGGATGGATAGACAGACAGACAGACAGACAGACAGACAGACAGACAGACAGACAGACAGACAGACAGACAGACAGACAGACAGACAGACAGACAGACAGACAGACAGACAGACAGACAGACAGACAGACAGACAGACAGACAGACAGACAGACAGCTGATTGATGATAGATAGATAGATAGATAGATAGATAGATAGATAGATAGATAACTGATTGACTCTATAAGATCTGTCCCTCTAGAGAACCCTGACAAAAACAGCTGCCATTCATTAGTACTGTGATGCCGAGAGGCAATTTTCAGCACTGATATAACTATGCAGTGAACACAGCAGATCCACTGAAGTTCACACCAGGCGTCCAGGAGGCACCGTGTTGTAGTGTGCGCCTACCTATGTACTCGCAAATGAAGACCACGAAGAACGGAGTGACCAGGTCGTTTATCCCCTGAACGTATCCACTGGCAGGGTGTCGGATAGCCCATATAAACAAGATCCTTTCGAAAATCTGAAAGAAAATGGAATTGGCAGGAAAGCAAGAAATGAATACAGTAAAAATTTAAAATGTACCCACGTTTTTACTTAAAATATATGCCATCAATATTTCTCACTGTCTCCAATACTAAGGCACAAAACATAGACAGATATCAATTACAGTTTCTTTGCAAAAGTCCAATGATCTTAACTTTTTATTGGTTCCCAAGCACTACAGTATCTCACCATACCCAGGATTCAGTTCTTCCCCATCACCGGCACTAGTTCCTGGGCTCCCTGGAGACCACAGGTCACAGGGATGCAGAACAGACCGGGGCTTGGTAAACAATGGCTCTTTCTTTAGAGACGGATGGGTAGACAGGGAAGTGGAAAGTGGGAAAGGGGGAAGAAGGAAGGGAGGGAAGGAGAGATGTTGCACACGTGCATCCATCCATTTTTCATGCACATGTAATGCATCCATGTCCCCACCAGGTAAATAGATTTCTTAATTCCCTAGTAAGTTATCTCCATCCAAGAAGACACATTTAGACACCCAGCTTCCTGAGCCATGAATGTAATAATTACCCTAGTTTTCTTCTTCCTCAGTACACTCATCTCCAATTAACACTTCCCCTTCACCATCTTTCATCCCAATTACTCTTGTCCATCTTCACTCTTGAGATTAATCTTATCAAGGGACAACAGAACCACACCACCCCAGGCCACCCATACATATGTATACGCATCCACACCAATGGCTTAAAGACCTTCCGTTGATCCATAAGCATAGAGCTGAGCCGAGGTCTCCCCAAACTCTGGTCCTTCCCTAATGGCCTCTTCTAACCAGCATCCACATTCTGTACCCTCCTCAGAGCCCAGCAGGTTACCATCTCAGTTCCCACAGTCCTAAGAGACTCTCCTTGCTTCTGGATAAACTAATTGCTGGTATTTGAAAACAGTTCCAGCACTCCTTTCTGCACTGTCCTTTCTGCAACATCCTACTTTGTGACTCTCTGGTCTCCCCTCCTTCCCACTGTCATTCACTGGTGGTTCCTGCTTAGTATTGGGCTCCAATGCCAGCCAAGGCCAGGTCTTACTACTCTGCCTGGATCTCACACATGCAAGCAGGACAGTAAAGGCAGTGAAAGAATGCTCACATAAATAAAAGTGTCCCAGAACCTCTAAGCACACAAAAGCTTGAAGAACCAGATGTATGCACACTCTGGGAAGTCAGGCCCTTCCTACATCACCTGCACCCCATGTATGTTTAGGCTTGGTAGTCTAGAGCCCCAACACATCAACCCCAGGACTTACAGAGGAGAGGCCTAGAGCCCAGAGAAGCACAGCCTCTGATCCCATGACACAGAGCCTACCAGTGGCAAAATCAGCCCTGAAATGCAGCCCCACTCCCACACCAGTACACCATCACCCCGCTGCTCAAGTGAATAACAAGCAAGCACCACCTGTAGCACAGCAGGCACCAGCTCAATATTTGCTGAATGAGTGACACACTCATGCATATAGATTCATATACATTTTCCATCAGCCAACAGTTTCCTAGAGAGAAATGAATATTTAAACAAGTTCAGAGGCTGGGGCACAGCTCACTAACAGAGCGCTTGCCTAGCATGGGTGAAGGCCCTGCATATAATCACTAGCACCACAAAATAAAGTTAAAAACAAGCTTAGAGGCTAGGGACATAGCTCAGGCACAAAGTACAGTGCAAGGACCTCAGGTAGGATCCCAAAAACACATGTGAAAGGCCAAGAGTGACTGTAATCCTCATCTCAGGGACAGAGATGGGTAAATCCTTGCAGCTCACTGTCCAGCCTGCCTAGCAGAATCTAAGACCCTCAAGGTTAGAGAGACATGGTGAATCAAAAATATAAAAGTAGAGGCAACCAAGGAAAGACAGTCAATGCTGACATGCATGCACAAATCTATACTATACAAATCTAAACACATGCACCACACACACACACACACAGAGAGAGAGAGAGAGATATGCGAGAGAGAGAGATATGAGAGAGAGAGAGGGAGAGAGAGACAGAGAGAGAGAGAGAGAACCTCATCAAAGGCCCTCAGTGCACAGGGGACTGTCATAACCACCCAAAAGGAGAGCATCATCTGCCCACAAGGGCAAACAGGACATACACTGTGCCCTAGCCTCACACACACCATGAAAGGCCTGAGAAGGTTGGAGACAAAGACCTGGGCTGGCCTAGGCTGTACCTAGGAGGTACACAAGGCACTAGGAGGTATCACAATCCCTAAGTAGTATAATCAAATTACACAACAGAAACACAATAACAAAAACAGCAAGGTACTAGTACAACAGCAGACACACAGACCAAAGACCCAGAAACAAGCTCACAGAGCTGCAACCCCCTGGCTTTCCATAGGTGCCAAAGCATATGCTAAAAGACAGAACAAGCTCACAGAGCTGCAACCCCCTGGCTTTCCATAGGTGCCAAAGCATATGCTGAAAGACAGTCCTTTCTTTCTTTCTTTCTTTCTTTCTTTCTTTCTTTCTTTCTTTCTTTCTTTTTTTACATGTCAATCCCAGTTCCGTCTCCCTCCCCTTCTTCCCTGCCTCCCCACCCCCCATCCTAACCCCTTTCCATTTCCCAGGAAAGGCTAGGCCTTCAATGGGGGATCTTCAAAGTCCGTCATATCATTTGGAGCAGGACCTAGACCCTCCCCTGTGTGTCTAGGCTGAGAGAGTATCCCTCCTTGTGGAGAGGGCTCCCAAAGTCCATTCATATACTAGGGCTAAATACTGATCCACTACCAGAGGCCCCATAGATTGCCCAGACCTCCAAACTGACATCCTCCTGCAGGGGGTCTTCCTATGCTGGTTTCCCAGCTATCAGTCTGGGGTTCATGAGCAACCCCTTGTTCAACTCAGCTGTCCCTGTGGGTTTCTCCAGTCTGGTTCTGACCCCTTTGCTTGTCACTCCTCCCTCTCTGCAACTGGATTCCAGAGTTCAACTCAGTGTTTAGCTGGGGGTATCTGCCTCTGCTTCCATCGACTACTGGATGAAGGCTCTAGAATGACATATAAGGTAGTCATCAATCTCATTATCGGAGAAGGGCATTTAGGCAGCCTCTCAACCACTGCTTAGATTGTTAGTTGGGGTCAAACTCGTAGATCTCTGGACATTTCCCTAGTACCAGAATTCTCTTTAAACCTATAATGGCTCCCTCTGTATCTTTTCTTGTTCTCCTCAATTCTTCTCCTGACTAAATCTTCCTGCTCTTTCATGTCCTCCTCTCCCCTCCTGTTCTCCCCCTCTCTTTCTTCTAGCTCCCTCTCCCATGCCCCATGCTCCTCCCAATTAGCTCAGGAGATCTTGTCCCTTTCCCCTTTTCTAGGGGACCATGTATGTCTCTCTTATGGTCCTCCTTGTTTCCTAGCTTCTATGGTGGTGTAGATTTTAAGCTGGTAATCCTTTGCTCTATGTCTGAAATCCATATATGAGTGAGTACATACCATTTTTGTCTTTTTGTGACTGGGTTACATCATAGTTCCATCCATTTGCCTGCAAATTTCAAAATTCCATTGTTTTTTCTGCTGAGTAGTACTCCATTGTGTAAATGTACCACATTTTCTCCATCCATTCTTTAGTTGAGGGGCATCTTGGTTGCTTCCAGGTTCTGGCTATTATAAATAACACTGCTATGAACATGGTTGAGCAGATGCCCTTTTTGTATGAATGTACATCTTTTGGGTATATGCCTAAGAATGTAATTGCTGGATCTTGTGGTAGACTGATTCCCATTTTCCTGAGGGACTGCCAAACTGATTTCCAAATTGGATGCATGACTTGGCACTCCCAACAGCATTGGAGGACTGTTTGCCTTTCTCCACTTTCTCTCCAGCTTAAGCTATCATTGGTGTTTTTTATTTTAGCCATTATGACTGGAGTAAGATGGTATCTCAGAGTTGTTTTGATTTGCATTTCCCTGATGGCTAAAGATGTTGAGCACTTTCTTATGTGTCTTTCAGCCATTTTAGATTCCTCCATTGAGAATTCTCTATTTAGTTCTGTACCCCACTTTTTAATTGGATTAGTTGGTGTTTTGGTGACTAGCTTCTTGAGTTCTTTGTATATTTTAGAAATCAGACCTCTGTCAGATGTGGGGTTGGTGAATATCTTTTCCCATTCTGTGGGCTGCCATTTTGTTTTGTTGACTGTGTTTTTTGCCTTACAAAAGCTTCTAAGTTTCAGGAGGTCCCATTTACTAATTGTCGATCTCAGTGTCTGTGCTACTGGTGTGATGTTCAGGATATGGTCTCCTGTTCCAACACATCCAAGGGTACCACCTACTTTCTCTTCTAAGGTTCATTGTCACTGTATTTATGTTGAGGTATTTGATCCATTTGGACTTAAGTTTTGTGCATGGTGACAGATAGGATCTATCTGCAGTCTTCTACATGCCAGCATCCAGTTATGCCAGCACCATTTGTTGAAGATGCTTTCTTTTTTCCATTGTATAATTTTAGTTTCTTTGTTAAAAATCAGATGTTCGTGGGTGTGTAGGTTAATATCAGGGTCTTCAATTCAATTCCATTGGTCTACTTGTCTATTTTTGTGCCAATACCAAGCTCTTTTCAGGACTATAGCTCTATAATAAAGCTTTAAGTCAGGGATGGTGATGCCTCCAGATGTTCTTTTATTATACAGAGTTGTTTTGGCTATCCTGGTTCTTTTGTTTTTCCATATAAAGTTGAGAATTGTTCTTTCAAGGTCTGTGAAGAATTGTACTGGATTTTGATGGGGATTGCATTGACTATGTAGATTGCTTTTGGCAAGATTGTCATTTTTACTATGTTGATCCTACCTATGCAAGAGGGTGGGAGGTCTTTCCATTTTCTGGTATCTTCTTTAATTTCTTTCTTTAAAGACTCAAAGTTCTTACTATACAGGTCTTTCACTTTTTTGGTTAGCGTTACCCCAAGATATTTTATGTTGTTTGTGGATAGTGTAAAGGGTGATGTTTCTTTGATTTCTTTCTCAGTCCAATTATCG